ATACTCATCAAAATTATCATGTGCAACGGTAAAAGGCCACCCATCAATATAATCCTTAATAAGTGCAAACTTCTCCGATATAGTGTAGTTTGGAGAATTCAAAAAGATAATAGGACTATCATGTGTGGGTGCAATAGCAACAATTTCATGTTTAACATAAGGAACAATAGCAAGTTCATCTCCGTAAGCATAATTCATATTGGCATCTTGGCCACAAGAATAGCAAGCATCAAGTTCATCAAAAATGGATATTTCAAACGAATCAACGGGATCATAGGAATTATCATGGCATTCACCCTTCGGTAAGAATGAAGGGACATTAAATAATGTATGAGTTGGAGAGTTACTCTCATTAGAAGGTGGGCACAGGTAGCTAATCCTATCTTCCTCCTTTTGTTCTTCGCTCTCCTCGTCATCTTTTTCACCAATGACCCTACAGTTTCATCAATTTCTTCTTTCATAGACTCCTGCAAAATATTAGTCTCTTCTCAGACAACGGAGACTTTCTCAATAAATTCATCAATATCATAATTGTATTTATAATTCTCATAGAAATATTTAAGGATAGCTAAATTTCCAGGTCTATAAACTAAATCATCAAAATCTTCAAACTCTTTAAACAAAGATTCAATTTCACAAGCACCCTTAAAAGCAACAAATTCTTCTATTCGTTCCACATCATAGTAATCATATATATCATTAGCATAAGAAGCTAAGGTTTCATTATCATTAAATTTGCATGAAAAGGGAAGGTGTGGAGCCTTCATCCTAGAGCAACAAGTATGATCATATCTCAAACATAGTTGTCGAGCATACCAATGCAACATATAAATTTCATCCCATAATAGTTTCCCTTTTCGAGTCAAGCGACAATCCCTAAAGTATTCACGTTGATCCACCATGTCTCCCATTATATAATTGAATGGGGTTTTCTCAGGATTATTAAAGTAGTGCAAAATTTCTTTCACATAATGAGCATCGAGGGTTTTAGGAGGTTCGCCATCTCCATGAGTAGCAAGTAAACCTGTTTTTTTGGTATTTCGTGTTCCATATCCATAACTAAAGATAGAGAACAACTTAGTACATCAAATAAAATTCACTTAGTGATAAAGCAAACAAGCACACACGAGAATATTCACCCCATGCTATTGCTCCCCGGAAACGGCGCCAGAAAAAGGTCTTGATAACCCAGAAGTATAGGGGATCAATTGTAGCCTATTTTGATAAGTAAGAGTGTCGAACCCAACGAGGAGCTAAAGGTAGAACAAATATTCCGTCAAGTTCTATCGGCCACCGATACAACTCTACGCACGCTTAACGTTCGCCTTACCTAGAACAAGTATGAAACTAGAAGTACTTTGTAGGTGTTGTAGGCTAGGTTTGCAAGATAATAAAGAGCATGTAAATAAAAGCTAGGGTCCGTTTAGCTAAATGCACAACTAATCTAGTTTCAGTCGAGAGCTTTTTGTCACAAGAAATTTATTTGTCCCTAGACAATCGATAACTAGACCGGTAATCATTACTGCAATTTTATTTGAGGGAGAGGCATAAGCTAACATACTTTCTCTTCTTGGATCATATGCACTTATGATTGGAACTCTAGATCATATTAAAGATTATTAAGGTAAAACCCAATCATAGCATTATAAGGCATCAAGTCCTCTTTACTCCCATACGCAAACAACCTACTTACTCGGGCTTATGCTTCTGTCACTCACGCCACCCACCATAAGCAAATCATGAACATATTGCAAACCCTACAGCAGGGATCCCTCACACTTGCACGACACGGAGAGCACCATAGGATAACACCAATAATAAAACATGCAACTCAAACCAATCACGATCATCAATTAACCCATAGGACAAAACGGATCTACTCAAACATCACAGAATAGCCATACAACATTTGGAAATAATATATAGAATTGAGAACCATGTTTAAGTAGAGATTACAACGGGTAAAAGAGGGGTTACACCGATGCATAGAGGGGGGAAGAGTTGGTGATGACGGCGGTGAAGTTGTTGGTGTAGACCGTTGTCGCGATGATTGCCCCGGCGGTGTTCCAGCACCACTTGGAGAGAGGGGGAGAGAGCCCCCCTTCTTCTTCTTCTTCCTTGACCTTCCCCCTAGATGGGGGAAGGGTTTCCGCTCTGGTCCATGGCCTCCATGGCGGCGGAGGGGCGAGAGCCCCTCCGAGATTGGATCTCTCTCTCTCTCTCTCTCTCTCTCTCTCTCTCTCTCTCTGTTTCCGCTCTGGTCCATGGCCTCCATGGCGGCGGAGGGGTGAGATCCCCTCCGAGATTATGCCCTTTCACCGTTTCTTAAATTTCCGGAGATCCATAACTCCGATTGGGCTGAAATTTTGACACGATTTTTATCCAGATATTGGCTTTCTTGCGGCGAAAGAAGGGCACCAACCGCCTTACGAAGTGGCCACGAGGGCCCAGGACGCGCCCCTCACCCTCGTGGGTCCCTCGGGCATCATCTCGCGTTGATTCCACTTTCCAAATTCACATATATTCCAAAAAAATTCTCTGTAAGTTTTTATCCCGTTTGGACTCCGTTTGATATGGATTTTCTGCGAAACGAAAAACATGCAACAAACAGGAATTGGCACTGAGCACTAATCAATATGTTAGTCCCACAAATAGTATAAAAAGTTACCAAAAATATGTAAAAGTTGTAGAATATTGGCATGAACAATCAAAAATTATAGATACGACGGAGAAGTATCAGCAGCGATGCCCCTCATTAGAAATAATGTCTCCCACATTCTATCCCTGTCCCGATGGTGCGTCTAGCGTCATTAGAGGGAGTGTGGAGGTGTGTCTCTGTCGAATCTCATGGGATTCGGTCGGTGCTGGTCCTTGGTGCATCTGTTTGGATCCAGTCTTCATTCGTGTTTGTGGTGTTTACAGGTTTGATCTTTCCGATCTACGACTTTCTTCATCAGTGATGGTTGCTGCTCTGGTGCGCTAATTCTATGGGGCTTTAGCACGATGAATTCCCGACTGTCTACTACAATAAGGTTTGACTGGTTCCAGCGAGGGAGGGGCAATGACGGCGGCACGCCTTCGGCTCGCTCCAGCACTTGTAGTCGTCGCTAGGTGGTCCACGGATCTAGTTGTAATTTTTAGTATCCCTGGTGTTCTTTGTACTGACATAATTGAGTATGAATAGACTAGAAATTTCCCATGCTAGAAAAATATTTCTTTAAATAGACATTTCTAGCCTTACCCACAAAATTAGATGAGTGTGTGTATCAAATGATGGATGCCTACAACGCCGAAGGGACCTGCCAGGTGATCTCCCCCACCACCGGGTTAGGCTAAAGTAAGTATTGATGCAAGCTTTGACATGTCCTCATGCTCTGTAGCCTTCGGGGCAGTTGCAAGGAACTGTAGGGGACAAGTGCTAATGGCGGCTCCGATACCTAGTGGGTGGTGTCATGCTCCTAAGGAAGTGGATGGGTCGGCGTACGGAGGGTATTAAGCTTTTCCAGGGACAAGCTACTATATCTTTGGTCATCGAGTCTGGTAGCATGTCACTCATCAATACCCTGAAGGATGGAGGAGACAACACATCGTTGCTATGTAGCAGTACAAGGGGGTCTAGACGATGATATCGTTTTCTAGGATGGCAGGTACTCGCTCCGTCCCAAAATAATTGTCTCAACTTTGTACTGGCTTTAGTACAAAATTGTACTAAGCTTGAAACACTTATTTTGGGACGGGGGGAGTAGCAAATAAGGTTGCTCATGCTCTCGCGTAGGTAGCTACTACGAGTGCAAACAAATCCATCTGGATCCTAGATGCACTGTCTGCTATTTTTTAGCTCCTTCTGAAGGATTGTAAATACATTATTACCAATTAATGAAACCCCCTGTTTGGGCAAAAAAGATAGTTTTGTAGAAAAATTATTCTGAGCCCCTAGACATTTCAACAAAAACCATTAGAGACTGGAGAACAGACTTTGCATCTTGAGTGGAAATCAAAATTTGGAAAGTGTAAGAACAGCCACAACTGTCAAAAACCGTGGACGCTTTCAAAAAAAATTAATACATGACTTAATAAAAAGAAGTAACGACTTTGACCCCAAAAAGGAACTTTGGACAACCATAACTTTAAAAGATATGTCAACATTAAAAAATTTAAAAGCACAACATTGGAATAACAATTTCCGCCATTGTGATCGATATAAGTGAGCCAAAGTTGTAAAGCTAACTTTCTAATCTAACAAGTGGGTCATGCAAAAAAATGAAAGTGCAATAAAAATATGAATAAAAGAAAATTAGACCATGCACCTACCCACCATTCGTGACTTCATGGCACAAAGTCATGATAGGTGTGACCTAGTACGGCTTGTGATGATCACCACTCTCTCAAAGCAATGTGTCGGTGACCGAGGATGTGAAGGATATTGGGGTGTGGTCTCACGATGGGGGTTGTAGCCTTGGAACTCCCTAGAAGCACTACCCAGCGAGAGAAATTTACGCAAAACTAAAGTGGTGTATGTGAGACATGTGTTACATGAGTGACGCCATTCGTGAAACGACATGTATCATTGAAATGATAATTTTTGGTACTTAACCATAAGCGAGCAACTTATGTTACATAACCATAAGACACGCAAAGAGTTTCCATTGCAAGTCGGTTGGCCAAAACGATGGTATATAACTTAATACATGTAAATAGTGATACATTGACAATTAACATTTTTGGAATATATCACGAACACTAGTACATTTTCCACTAGAACAATGAAGCCCTTATTTGATAATATTTAAGATGATAACAAATAAATGAAAAAAGAGTCAAAGCTATCAATTTGACGCAGTACAGTAGGTTGGGCTCCATTTTTTTAGATTCCTCACATGAAGGGGACTAGGGGTTGGCATTGCCATACCCAGATCCAGCACCTTTGCCTGCACCACTCCCACCATTTCTTCCTCCTCCATTGCCACCACCGTTTCCACCAGCATCTGCATTTGTACTACCTTGTCTATACCAATTGTTAGTAGCTGTAGCTGAGCCAGAACCAGTGCCACTACCAGCCCCATATCCACTAGATCCTTGATAACCACTAGCTTTCCCTCCACCACCGCCACCACCGGCACCGCCAGCGCTAGTATATCCACCATAGCCACCACCATAAGGATATGAAGATCCTTGACTATATTGACTGGAACCAGAGCCAGAGCCGGACCCGCTACCATATCCAGTTCCACCATTTTGGCCACCGCCTCCGCCGCCACCTCCACCTCCACCTCCACCGCTTGCATGGCTACCACTACTAGAACTCACGCTAGACCCAGTTCCACTCCCAGCACCCGAGCCACCACCACTCACAGTTCCCCCACCCTCTCCTCCTCCCGCTCCCGTTCCCGTGGCGCTTCCACTGCCGAATCTAACCACCCTTGCAGCATTGGCCAGTCCAATGCTCAAGAGGACAACATAGCCGAGGGCTACTAGCTTTGTGCCTACCATTGTGTGTGTTTTATGGAAGTGTGTACTCTTGCAAGATGAGATGAGTTCTAAGCGAAATATCAATGGATATTTATAGTGGTGCTTCCAGCCATGCATGTTGGGGGTGTTGGTGGAGTTGTTGACGAAGTCATGTCTCAACTGTAGGTGGAGGCTTAGAATAATTAGTGCCTTAATTGGTGCAGGTAAAAGTAAACGAGATGACTGACTTCTAATCGTGACCGCATCCACGTTGGGTCAATAGTTCTAAAACACACGCATGCTAGCATCCACTAATGAACACATCTAGCTCCAGGCTTGAATAGTTGACATTAGAGCAGAGGAGGCAGCAACCTGGAAGTTTCGGTAGTTGAATTTGGAGTTGGAGGGTATTGTACTAGCAGATGGCAAAAATCCAAACCACGTTCATGCCGGCACCAAGGATCATCTTGTCAAGGTAATTAAGCCTACACCACCACTGAATGCCTGGACTAATTACATCTGTGTCCGTTTATGCTACTTGCATGCATGATTACAATTTTATCTTACGGTCAAATAACCATGCATGCATGCATCTATCTATCTATCTATCTATCTATCTATCTATCTATCTATACCTATACTAATTAGGCACTTTCCAGAAATTATTGTGTTAATTAGAAATTAAGAACCGTTCATCTGGTGGAACCGAGTTATTACGGTGTAGATCTGACATGTCCTCCCGTAATTAAAGCAATGTCTATCTCTTCAACAGAATAAAAAAAATCTCTCTCTCTCTCATAGAAAAATAAATGATCAAGTTCAAGTGGGATGGTAAGATCGATCCAAAACCACGTGCATGCCAGCACCGTAAGTCTATACGTATCGTACACCATATTATTTGATGCCCGGACTTGTTCAAGTTAATAGCTGAACAGGTTGTAAACCGTGATACATAGCTGCTTTTTCATGTACTGAACGAAAATCTACGGCAACGCTGCTTTATGAGCCGAGATGGTCACTGCCACGCCAAACAGCGAAGGGAAGCAGCCGTTACTGCCATGCTAGCAAAATCAACAGACCTCACCTAGCCAGATAGATAGGTCAACAATAATTTACGACAACGAGCCATCAAACCATCGCAGCTGACATTGTCGAGATGGGGAGGCTCGAGGAAACTTTATTCGCCACACCGACGGCGCTGCCGCGCAATCCTAGTAAAAGCATCAAAGAGTGGAATACAAGAGATCCATATGGTAGATCAGGGCTTTCCCACACTCCCATATCAGCAGTGGAGGTCGTGGCGACCTGCCACCGGACAAGAGATGGCAGCGCGGTGCATCCAGAAAATCTCCTCTCCAGGGTTTGAGAGGTGAGAACGGTTCCAGAAAAACTGATGGGGAGGTTAGTTAACTAGATGGATCATCACAATTAACATAATTAACTAGTTTTTTGGTGGAAAAACTCACAATCTATTCACTAGAACAGCAACTGCTGCCATTGTAGAGTAGCGTAGATTGGAAGGATCCAACTTGAAGACACATGAACATAGACAAACTACGATAAGATTCGAGCAAATCCATTAAGGACAGATCCACCAGAGACACACCTCCACACGCCCACCGATGATGCTAGACGCATCACTGGAATGGGGACTAGACGGGAAGAACCTTATCCCATCTTTAGTGAGCCGCCGCCATCTCGTTTTTCTGGGTAGGACACAAACCCTACCAAAACTCGAAGGAACATCTAAAGACGGAGCCCTCCACCGACAAGGATCGGGATCCACCGCGCCGCCATGGCCCTAAAGCCACCGGAGACGAGACGGACCGGTGGCGGCGCCGGAGGGAGATAGCCTTTTCTTGGGGAAGAGGCATAGGCAACATAATTAACTAGTTTGATGTCACAAAAAAAAATCAGCTACCTTAAATTTCAGAGAAAAACCAGCCAGCTTACCTTACAAAATCCTAATAAAATACCGTTGTTTGATCTTCCAGTATTCTTGCGTTTTAGTTTCATGTAATTTTTATTTTCATTTGTATATTCACCTTCTATATATTTTGTTTTTCTTATGGAGTTTCTAGTATTTGTATTTATTTTATTTTTATATTCCCCTTTTACTTTTATTTTTATTTTGTTTTTTGAGTTGCCTTTTACCTTTTTGCAATTAGCGTTCATGTGATCCACCGGTACACAATATTTTTATGCTGTTTTATAATTTGTTGGAGAAATAAAAAGAATTATCTCATGTTTGTATATATATTTGAAACAAAGTACATTAACTTTAGCACAAAAGATTTAATAATGTTTGTTCTTAAAACAATAACATTTTAATTACCATGATGGATCATCACAATTAACAAAATCAACAAGTTATATGACGCGCACACGTAGGGGCTCAAGCAGCCGCTCCTCCGCCTCCTGCCGGCGTCGCTGCTGGTCCGCCTCGTCTTCGATGGCCTTAGAGCCATGGAGGCGCGGTGGATCCCAACCCTTGTCGCTGGGAGGGTTCCGTTCTTAGATGTTTTTTCGAGTTTTGTTAGGGTTTGTATCCTACTCAAGAAGGCGAGACAGCAGCGACTCCCTGAAGGTGGAATTGTTGGGGAACGTAGTATTTCAAAAATTTACCTACGATCACGCAAGATCTATCTAGGAGAAGCATAGCAACGAGCGGGGAGAGTGTGTCCACATACCCTCGTAGACCGAAAGCAGAAGCGTTTAGTAACGCAGTTGATGTAGTCGAACGTCTTCACGATCCAACAGATCAAGTACCACACGCACGGCACCTCCGTGATCTGCACACGTTCAACTCAGTGACATCCCTTGAACTCTAGATCCAGTTGAGGCTGAGGGAGAGTTTCGTCAGCACGACGGTGTGGCGACGGTGATGATGAAGTTACCGACGCATGGCTCGCCTAAGCACTACGACAATATGACTGAGGTGGAAATCTGTGGAGGGGGGCACCGCACACGGCTAAGAAATCAACTTGTGTGTCTATGGGGTGCCCCCTCCCCCGTATATAAAGGAGGGGAGGAGGGGGTCGGCTGGCCTCATGGGGCGCACCCCAAGGGGGGAATCCTACTCCTACTAGGAGTAGGTTCCCCCCTTTCCTAGTCCAACTAGGAGGGGAAGGAAAGGAGCGGAAATAAGAAGTATGTTCCCCGCTTTCGAGAACTACGTAGACATGACCGAGACTCATCTCCGATCAATAACCAATAGCGGAACCTGGATGCTCATGTTGGTTCCTACATATTCTATGAAGATCTTTATTAGTCAAACCGCACAACAACATATGTTGTTCCCTTTGTCATCGATATGTTACCTGCCCGAGATTCGATCGTCGTTATCATCATACCTAGTTCAATCTCGTTACCGGCAAGTCTCTTTACTCGTTCCGTAATTCATTATCCTAACTAACTCATTAGTCACACTGCTTGCAAGGCTTATAGTGATGTGCATTACCGAGAGGGCCCAGAGATACCTCTCCGTCAATTTGAGTGACAAATCCTAATCTCGATGTATGCCAACTCAACAAACACCATCATAGACACCTGTAGAGCATCTTTATAATCACCTAGTTACATTGTGACGTTTGATAGCACACTAAGTGTTCCTCCGGTATTGGGGAGTTGCATAATCTCATAGTCATAGGAACATGTATAAGTCATGAAGAAAGCAATAGCAATAATCTAAATGATCATAGTGCTAAGCTAACGGATGGGTCTTGTCCATCACATCATTCTCTAATGATGTGATCCCATTCATCGAATGACAACACATGTCTATGGCTAGGAAACCTAACCATCTTTGATTAACGAGCTAGTCAAGTAGAGGCATACTAGGGACACTCTGTTTGTCTATGTATTCACACATGTACTAAGTTTCCAGTTAATACAATTCTAGCATGAATAATAAACATTTATCATGATATAAAGAAATATAAATAACAACTTTATTATTGCCTCTAGAGCATATTTCCTTCAGTCTCCTACTTGCACTAGAGTAAATAATCTAGATTACATTGTCATGATTCTAACACCCATGGAGTCTTGGTGCTGATCATGTTTTGCTCGTGAGAGCGGCTTAGCAACGGGTCTGCAACATTCAGATCCGTATGTATCTTGCAAATCTCTATGTCTCGCTCCTTGACTTGATCGCGGATGGAATTGAAGCATCTCTTGATGTGCTTGGTTCTCTTGTGAAATTTGGATTCCTTTGCCAAGGCAAATGCACCCGTATTGTCACAAAAGATTTTCATTGGACCCGATGCACTAGGTATGACACCTAGATCGGATATGAACTCCTTCATTTGCTGCTACCGAAGAAGCTATGTACTCCGCTTCACACGTAGATCCCGCCACGACGCTCTGCTTGGAACTGCACCAACTTACAGCTCCTCCATTTAGTAAAAATTCGTATCCGGTCTCTGACTTAGAGTCATTCGGATCAGTGTCAAAGCTTGCATCGACGTAACCATTTACGACGACCTCTTTGTCACCTTCATAAACGAGAAACATATCCTTAGTCCTTTTCTGGTATTTCAGGATGTTCTTGACCGCTGTCCAGTGATCCACTCCTGGATTACTTTGGTACCTCCCTGCTAAAATAATAGCAAGGCACACATTAGGTCTGGTACACAGCATTGCATACATGATAGAACCTATGGCTGAAGCATAGGGAATGACTTTCATTTTCTCTATATCTTCTGCAGTGGTCGGGCATTGAGTCTGACTCAACTTCACACCTTGTAACACAGGCAAGAACCCTTTCTTTGCTTGATCCATTTTGAACTTCTTTAAAACTTTATCAAGGTATGTGCTTTGTGAAAGTCCAATTAAGCGTCTTGATCTATCGCTATAGATCTTGATGCCCAATATATAAGCAGCTTCACCGAGGTCTTTCATTGAAAAATTCTTATTCAAGTACCCTTTTATGCTATTCCAAAATTCAGTATCATTTCCGATCAACAATATGTCATCCACATATAATATCAGAAATGCTATAGAGCTCACATATAAAATTTATTGAAAAATTCTTATTCAAG